GGTTGAAGAAGCCTTCTTTTTTTCCAATCATCTATTTCTAATTTCTTTATGAATAATCAGGAGTCTGTAGGTGTCTGGGATTATGTCATGGTGTTTGATTCTATTGGGTTGATCAACTTGTAGGATTTATGCCAATGCCATGAGATTTTCATTACCATAGGAGTATAGTATATCTTGAAATTGGAGCTCTTGATACTATCAGTTATTCTTTTATTATATACAATTGTTTTAGCTATCCTACTTTTTTCCATATAAAGCTGAGTATTGTTCTTTCAAGATCTGCAATGAATTATGTTGAAATTTTGATGTGTGTGGAATTCATTGAATCTGTAGATTATTTTTGGTAAGATGACCATTTTTACTGTTAATTCTATTGATCCATATGCATGGAAGATCTTTCCATCTTCTGATATCTTCTTCAATTTCTTTCTTCAAAGTCTTAAAGTTTTATCATACAAGTCTTTCATTTGCTTGATTAGAGATACATCAAAATTTACAAAAATGCCTAATTTCATATTATTTATTTGTGGCTGTTATGAAGGGCATTCTTTCCCTGAATTCTTTCATGGTCTGTTTGTTCTTTGTATATAGGAGGGTTAATATTTTTTTTAGTTAATCTTGTGTCCAGCCACTTCAGTGAAGGTGATGATCAACTGTAAGAAGTCCCTGGTAGAATTTTTGTTCTCATTTATGTATACTATCGTATCACCTGCAAATAAAGATAAATTGACTTCTTCCTTTCTTATTTGTATTCTTTGATTTTCTTCAATTATCTTATTGCTATAGTTAGAAATTCAAGTAATACCTGAATTTATATAGAGAAAGTGGACAGCATTGCCATGCACTTGATTTTAATGGAGTTGCTTCTAGTATCTTTCTATTTAATTTGACGTTGGTTCTTGGTTTGCTGTAAATTACTTTTATTAGGTTTAGATATGTCCCTTGTGGCCTTGCTGTCTCCAAGATATTTACCAGGAAGGGCTGTTATATTTTGTCACTGGGTTTTTTTCAGGTTCTAATATGATGATCATAATTTTTAGTTGTTGTTTTGTTTTATTTTTCTTCCCAAGTATTTTTTATACAGTTGATTACATTGACAAATTATTTTATATTGAACAATCCCTGAATCTGGAATGAAGCTTATTTGATCATGGTAGATGAACATTTTTTTGTGTTCTTGGAAATTTGGAGTATTTTATGATTATTTTTGCAACAATGCTCATTACAGAAACTGGTCTGTAATTCTCTATCTTTGTTTGGTTTGGTTTGGCTATCAGGGTGACTTTGGCCTCATAAAATTGATTTGGAAATATTCCTTCTATTTCTATTTTGTAGAAAAATTTGGGGAATGTTGACATTAGATCATCCTTGAAACCCTGGTTGAATTATGTGCTCAAACATTCATGTCCTTTGGTGTTTTGTTTGGTATGGAGACTTTTAATGGCTGCTTCTATTTCCTTAGGGGTAATAGGTCTATTTGAATCCATTATCTAATCTTGATTTATCTTTGGTAAGGGGTATTTGTTGAGAAAATTGTGCATTTCTTTTAGATTTTCAAATTTGGTAGAGTATAGGCTTTTAAAAGTATGACCTATAGAACATCCCCATTGTCTCAGTGTGTGGGTGCACCCCTCAAGGTCCTAAGTTCCTTGCTCGTGCTCTCTCTCCTTCTGCTCCTGATTTGGACCTTGGCATTTCAGTCTGGTACTCCAATGTGGGTCTCTGTCTCTGTCTCCTTTCATCGCCTGATGAAGGTATTATCCAGGAGGATGACTATATGTTTTTCTTTGGGTTCATCTTCTTATTTAGCTTCTCTAGGATCACTAATTATAGGCTCAATGTCCTTTATTTATGGCTAGAAACCAATTATGAGTGAGTACATCCCACGTTCATCTTTTAGGGTCTGGGTTACCTCACTCAGGATAGTGTTTTCTATTTCCATCCATTTGCATGCAAAATTCGAGAAGTCATTGTTTTTTACTGCTGAGTAGTACTCTAATATGTATATATTCCATACTTTCTTCATCCATTCTTCCATTGAAGGCATCTAGGTTGGGCTATTGGGTCTGAAAAAGCATGGGATAAAACCGGACTCGCTGAACATAGCGGACAATGATGACTACCGAGAACTCAAGAACAATGGCACTGGGTTTTGATCCTACTGCACGTACTGGCTTTGTAGGAGCCTAGGCAGTTTGGATGCTCACCTAACTAGACCTGGAAGGAGGTGGGTGGTTCTTGGACTTCTCACAGGGCAGGGAACCCTGATTACTCTTTGGGCTGATGAGAGAGGGGGACTTGATTGGGGGAGGGGGAAGGAAATGGGAGGCGGTGGCGGGGAGGAGGCAGAAATCTTTAATAAATAAATAAAAAATAAAGTATTACCTAAATATTCTTTGGATTTCCTCTGTCTCTGTTGTTATGCCACCCTTTTTTCTGATTTTGTTAATTTGGACATTCTCTTTGTGTCTTTTAGTTTGGATATGGTTTATTTATCTTGTTTATTTTTTCAAAGAACCAACTCTTAGTTTCATTGATTCTTTCTATTGTTCTCTTTGTATTTTATTTTTTCAACCCTTGGTTTAATGACTTACTGCGATCTACTACTCTTGGGTATGCTTACTTCTTTTTGTCAAGATCTTTCAGCTGTGCTGTTAGGATGCAAGTGCTCTCTCCATTTTCTTTCTACAGGCTCTTAGCTGTATGAAATTACAGATAGTTCCACTTTCATTTTGTTCCATCAATTTTGGCATGTTGTATATTCATTTTACTGAATTTTAGGAATTCTTAATTTCTTCATTTCTGCTTTGACCCAGTAGTCATTCAGAAGAGAATTGTTCACTTTCCATGACTTTGTAGGCATTCTATGGTTGTTGTTGTTGATGATGTTGTTAAAATCCAGCTTTAGTCCATGGTTGTCTGATAGAATGCAGGAAGTTATTTCATTCTTTTAATATTTGTTGAAGCTTGCTTTGTGACAGATTATGTGGCCAATTTTAGAGAAAATTCCAAGAAGTGTTTTGAAGGAGTTATATTATTTTGTGCTTGGTTGAAATTTTCTGAAGTTATCTGTTAGGTCCATTTGAGTCATAACATCTCTTAGTTCTATTATTTTCCTGTTTAGTTTCTGTCTGGATGACCTGTCTACTGGTGAGAGTGGGGTATTAGAGTCTACCACTATTAATGTTTGAGGGTCAATATATCTTTTAAGCTTTAATAATGTGTCTCTTACAAATATGGGTGCAATTGACTTTGGGAAATGGATATTAATGATTGAAACATTATTTAGTGGATTTTTTCCTTGGTGAGTAGAGAATGTTATTCTATTGGGAGCCTTGAGTATCAGCCTCAGAACCCCCTCAAGGCTAAGAATTAGATGTCTATCATGGCTTCACAAGGTTTTTACAGATATGACAGCAACTTTTTCAAAAGGCAAGTGATGTTGCAGCTCTGAAAAACAGGTTGCTCCATAAGCTGTACACTTGTGGGTCTGTCTTTATGAATCTGTCAGCTGTATATTTGCTGTATAGTCTCGTGGGCTCCAACATTATTCCTAATCTCATTTTGTTTTGACTAGATGTTGATTTTTTAGATATTGTAATGGCTAAACCAGCTTGTTTCTTAGGTCCTCTTAGGTCCATTTGCCTTGAAATTCATGTTCAATTCTTTACTCTGAGGTAATATCTATCTTTGATGTTGATGTGTGTTTCTCATATGCTACGGAAGGATGAATCCTGTTTCCACATTCATTCAGTTAGCCTGTGTATTTTTATTGGGTAATTGTGTTTGTTTTTCCTTGAGCATCAATCAGGCACACATTCTCTTTGCATTTTTCTTTTCTTAGTTTCTTTAAGTTGTTGCTTTGTGTCTTGTTGAAACTTTTCTAATATTTTGATGAGATTTTATTGTCTTTTTTTAATTTTATGGGTTTTACCTAGGAAATTCTTATTTGCAAACATTTATAAAGGAATGGTAAGGTTTGATAAGAAGATTTTTTTTGTCATAGTCAAAATAAACTTATGCAAAAATAACAATGCTTGAGGGAATATCATACCATATTTGAAGATATCGTATAAATTCATAGAGTATTAACAATGTAATACTGACCAAAATCAGACATGCACACAATAGTTATACATCCGTTTGACCACTTGATATTTGTAAAAGGGCCTAATAGCAGAAGCTGAAGATAAAAAAAAGCATCTTCTGTATAAAGTAAATATCCCCATGGAGAAGAAATTGTACTCATACATACTACCTTATACAAAAACCTACTCAAATGGATCAAAGACCTAAACATGAAAACTGAAAACTGAGCTTGCTAGAGGAATACTTAGCTAACCCCAGCTAAGACTCCTAGTAATAGTGGACACATAGTCTGAACTGGCCAGCTTCTGTGACCAGATTGGTGACTAGCCTAATTATCATCAGAAAGGCATCATCCAACAACTGATGGAATCAGATTCACACCCACAGTCAAACATTAGGGAGAAGTCTAGGAATCCAGAGGAAAAGGGAGAGAATACATTGTAAGATCCAAAGGCATCAAAAATACCAAAGGAAACTCAAAGAGTCAAAAAAACTGAGCTCATAGGGCTTACAGAGACTAAACATCAATGAGAAAGCATTCATGGGACTGATTTAGGCACTCTACCTATATGTCACAGTTGTGATGCTTGGTCCTCTTGTTAGACTCCTAACGGAGGGAACAAGGACTGTCTCCATCTCTTTTTCAAATTTTTGGGATCTTACTCCTCAAAATAATTTGCCTTGCCCATTTATAATACAATGAGTAGTGTTTAGTCTTACTGCAACTTGATATGCCCTGTTTTGCTAATACTCATGGAATTTCTGTGTACTTTCCTGAACAGAAAGTTAGGAGGAGTGTATTGGGAGGAGGGAGCAGAGGAGAGATGGAGGAGAATGATTTGAAGGAGAGAAGGAAGAAAATATTGTTAGCTAGAATATAAAATAAATGAATAAAGGTATTATTAAAAATTGTGCTTGCTTCGGCAGCACATATACTAAAATTGGAATGATATAATGAAGATTAGACTGGCCCCTGTGCAAGGATGACATGCAAAGTCATGAAAAATAAAAAGAATGGAAGTAATAGTAAACTATAATGATGTCAAAAAAGAAAGCATAGCCAGAACCCTACATGATATAGACTTGGGAAAGATTTTTCTTAATAAGATTTCATTGTACCAAAAATTAAGACTGACAAGTGGGATTTCCCAAAATTTAAAATTTAAAATCTGCACAGATAAACAAACAACAAATTGGGAGAAGAAAAAACCCCAAATATATGAAAGAATCGTTGCCAGGTATATATTTGAGAAAGTATTAATATCCAGGATATTTGAGAAAGTATTAATATCCAGGATATTTAAAGTAATCAAAAACATAGAAAACAAATTACCTACTTTAAATGGTCCTCAGACCTGAAGAATAATTCATCAGAAGAAAAAATATTGTCAGAAAATTTTATCATCTCTAGCAGTTAGGAAAATATAAATCAAAGCAACATTGAGATTTCATCTTATCCAAGTGAGAATGGTAAAGATCAAATATCAACAAAAGTGAAAACAAATACTGAAGTATATGATGAGCAAAAGGAAACCTCATTCACTGTGGCTGGGTTTTCTAACAGATTCAGTCACTTATATCTAAATACATGAAAAAGAGTTTGTAATGCTCATAAATATATTAGTAAACTTTTCTTCTGGTCAGAAAAGGAAATGGTATGGGATGTCCTTCTGTCTATGTGTTGCTTTTACTGGTTAATGAATAAAGAAACTGGCTTGGCCTATAGCAAGATACAAAATAGTTAGGTGGGGAAAGGTAGGCTGAATGCTGGGAAAAAAGGAGGTAGTCTCAGAGAGAAGCCATGGAGATGCTGCCAGAGACAGATGCTGAAAGCTTGCCAGTAGGCCATGAGCCATGTAGTAAAATATAGAATAATGGAGATAGATTCGTTCTAGATGTAAGAGCTGGAAATGCACTTAAGTAATTGGCCGAACAGTGATTTAATGAATACAGTTTCATTGTGGTTATTTCGGGTGTCTGGGTGGCCAAGAAGTGAACAAGTGGAGGGTTGTTCACACTAACAGCCTCTTACAATGTGGTTGACAATATATACATTAGGGAACTTTTCTTCTCTGAGTTGACGATGTTTTCTCTAAGAGACATAGACAATCCAACAAAAACCTAAACACAAGTCGTGAGAATTTCTGTTTTCAGAAATAGGTCAAGAGGTCTTCAATATAGAACTGACCTGCATGTCACTTGTCAGACGACAAGTTTCCATGGTACATAATGGCAACATGCAAGTTTTCAAAGGAAGGAGGCAAATAAAAGTATGAGGCACAAATAATAAAAGCTCAGAGAAAGAAACTTGGGTCAACCCGAAGGTAAGAAAAGCAAAGGATCCAGTCACTGGCACTTAATTCTACCTCATTCCATAATGGTGATCCTGCCTCCAGGAATCTGGAATGAGACTGTGTCTGAGAGTCTTCTCCCATTTTATAATTCTCTCTAGTACTGGGATTAAAGGTGTTCACCACTATCTACTGGTTTCTATGGAAAGGTAGTATGGCTACTAGGATTAAAGGTGTGTATTATTGCTGCCTTGTATGTAAGGCTGGCTGTTTTACTTTTCTGATCTTCTGGCAAGCTTTATTTATTAAAATTCAAATGAAATGCCACTAAAACAGTTTTATTTAATTATGATGTCTATGAACCAAATTAATGACCAGCATCCCGAACAACACTAAGCATATAGTAGTGCCATGTGTAGCTTGGCAGTAACCAACCAACCTCCCTTATTGGAATGAAGAGTTACTGAAGAAGAGGAAAACCATGCCTGCTATGGAAATTTAGGTAACTGCTTAGTATTAGTGAAGTCATGGATATTGGAGAAGTATCTTAACCTGTACTTTACTAAGACAGTACAATATTTAGTAACAATCTAAACATTTGTACTTATATTCACAAAATCAATGTGGTATGCACCCCTGATCAAAGAAGTTTCTCTGTGCAACAGACAGAGACTACTACAAAAACCAAACCATTCAAAATGCAGAGTTGTGCAACAAGGTCAAACACATACACCTACAAAATATCTCACACTTAATGCTCAGGAAACTTTGTGGAAAAGGAGGGGAGAGGTTATAGTCAGAGGATCACAGAGTTTACTGTGAGGTAGTGTCTTTTTTTTTTAAATTTTTTTTATTGAGAAAAGGAGAAAAAAAAACAAGTTTCCTCCTCCTCCCAGCCTCTCATTTCCCTCCCCCTCCTCCCACCCTTCTCTCCCTCCTCCCACCCTTCTCCCCCTCCCCCCACTCCTCTCCCCCTCCCTCTCCAGTCCAAAGAGCAGTCCAGGTTCCCTGCCCTGTGGTAAGTCCTAGGTCCTTCTGCTCCTCATCGGGACCTTGGGAGCTCAGTCCAGTGCTCCAGTGTGGTTCTCTGTCTCTATCTCCATCCATCACCAGATGAAGGTTCTATGATGATATGCAAGATATTCGTCAGTATTGCTCTAGGATAGGGTCATTTCAGGTTCCCTATCCTCAGCTGCCCAAGGAACTAACTGGGGACCTCGGCTTGGGCATCTGGGAGCCACTCTAGGTTCAAGTCTCTTGCCAACCCTAAGGTGGCTCCCTTAACTAAGAATTGTGGTTCCGTGCTCCCCTATCCAACCTTCCTTTATCCCAATCCTCCTTTTTCCCCAAGATCCCCCCCATTCTCCCCTTCTCCCTTTTCTCTCCCCATCTCCCCTTACCCCCATCCCACCCCACCCCCAAGATCTCAATTTTCTCCCCGGCAATTTTGTCTACTTCGCATAGCCAAGAGGACAACAGTATGCTTTTCCTTTGGTACACTTTCTTACTTAGCTTCTTTGGCATCACCAATTGTAGACTCTGTGACCCTTGTTTATGGCTAGAAACAAATTATGAGTGAGTACATCCCATATTCATCTTTTTGGGTCTGGGTTACCTCACTCAGGATAGTGTTTTCTATTTCCATCCATTTGCATGCAAAATTTGAGAAGTCATTGTTTTTTTACCGCAGAGTAGTACTCTAATGTGTAGATATTCCACACTTTCTTCATCCATTCTTCCATTGAAGGGCATCTAGGTTGTTTCCAGGTCTGGCTATTACAAATAATACTGCTATGAACATAGTTGAACAAATGTTCTTGTCATATGATCGGGCATCTCTTGGGTATATTCCCAAGAGTGGTATTGCTGGGTCCAGGGGTAGGTTGATCCCGAATTTCCTAAGAAACCGAAACACTGATTTCCAAAGTGGTTGCACAAGATTGCATTCCTACCAGCAATGGATGAGGGTACCCCTTCCTCCACAGCCTCTCCAGCAAAGGCTATCATTGGAGTTTTTTATTTTAGCCATCTGACAGGTGTAAGATGATATCTCAAAGTTGTTTTGATTTGCATTTCCCTGATCCCTAAGGAGGTTGAGCATGACCTTAAGTGTCTTTTGGCCATTTGAACTTCCTCTGCTGAGAATTCTCTGTTCAGTTCAGTGCCCCATTTTTTAATTGGGTTAATTAGCATTTTAAAGTCTAGTTTCCTGAGTTCTCTATATATATTGGAGATCAGACCTTTGTCTTTTGCGGGGTTGGTGAAGATCTTCTCCCAGTCAGTAGGTTGCCTTTTTGTCTTGGTGACAGTGTCCTTTGCTTTACAGAAGCTTCTCAGTTTTAGTAGGTCCCATTTATTCAATGTTGCCCTTAATGTCTGTGCTGTTGGGGTTACACATAGGAAGCGATCTCCTGTGCCCATCTGCTGTAGGGTACTTCCCACTTTCTCTTCTATCAGGTTCAATGTGTTCTGACTGATAGTGAGGTCTTTAATCCATTTGGACTTGAGTTTTGTGTATGGTGATAGATATGGGTCTATTTTCATTCTTCTACAGGTTGACATCCAGTTATGCCAGCACCATTTGTTGAAGATGCTTTCTTTCTTCCATTGTATACTTTTGGCTCCTTTATCAAAAATGAGGTGTTCATAGGTTTGTGGGCTAAAATTCGGGTCTTTCATACGATTCCATTGGTCGACTTCTCTGTTTTTATGCCAGTACCACACTGTTTTCATCACTGTAGTTCTGTAATAGAGTTTGAAGTCAGGGATGGTAATGCCTCCAGACAATGCTTTATTGTATAGGATTGTTTTGGCTATCCTGGGTTTTTTGTTTTTCCATATAAAGTTGATTATTGTCCTATCAAGATCTGTGAAAAATTTTGATGGACCTTGATGGGGATTGCATTGAATCTATAAATTGCCTTTGATAGAATTGCCATTTTTACTATGTTGATCCTCTCAATCCAAGAGCAAGGGAGGTCCTTCCATTTTCTGGTATACTCCTCAGTTTCTTTCTTCAATGCCTTAAAGTTCTTGTCAAATAGATCTTTCACTTCCTTGGTTAGAGTTACCCCAAGATATTTTATGCTGTTTGTGTCTATCGTGAAAGGTGAAGCTTCTCTGATTTCCCTCTCTGCTTCCATATCCTTTGTGTATAAGAGGGCGACTGATTTTTTGGAGTTGATCTTGTATCCTGCCACATTACTGAAGCTGTTTATCAGCTGTAAAATTTCTTTGGTGGAGTTTTGGGGGTCGCTTATGTACACTATCATATCATCTGCAAATAACGAAAGTTTGAGTACTTTCTTTCCAATTCGAATCCTCTTGATCCCCTTATGTTGTCTTATTGCTATTGCTAGAACTTCAAGCACATGTATTGAAGAGGTATGGCGAGAGTGGACAGCCTTGTCGTGTTCCTGAGTTTAGTGGGATGGCTTTGAGTTTCTCTCCATTTAATTTGATATTAGCTGTCGGCTTGCTGGATATAGCTTTTATTATATTTTGATATGACCTTTGTATCCCTAATCTCTCCAGTACTTTTATCATAAAGGGATGTTGAATTTTGTCAAATCCTTTTTCAGCATCTAATGAAATGATCATATGGTTTTTTTCTTTCAGTTTATTTATATGCTGGACTACTTTGATAGATTTTCTTATGTTGAACCAGCCCTGCATCCCTGGGATGAAGCCTACTTGATCATAATGGATAATTTTTCTAATGTGTTCT